CCCGGTAGCTGTGGAAGCTCTCGGCCCGCCGCGCGCGGGCCAGCAGCGGGCTCTCCCGGTAGGGCCGCACCGAGCCGTAGGTGGCCGCCTCCTGCGCCGCCTCGCGGGGCTGCAGCTGTAGGCTGGGACGCGGGAAAGACAGCGCCGTCAGTCTGGGCTCCCGGGCAGCGCACTCATAACCAGCAGCCAAGCACTTACGCAAGTGAGGTCTGGTCCTAGCTCCCACACAGGACGCACTTAGCAGGCAGTCTGCACCACACACAGATCAAGGGCCAATGCACGCCACAGCGTGACCCACAAGTAATCGATAGAATCGAGATCTGCTTCTTCAGAGTTTGAAATTTTGTCAACAAAAAAAGCACATTATCTCAATGTACTGAAGTATATAACGCTTGTCTGATGACATTATCACTTGATGAAAACTGCCCCTGACAAAACGGACTCCACACACTGCCCAATGTGGCACAACTGTCCTACTTATTTTCAGTGAATTCTTGGTCACATACTAGGCTTTCAGATTAGCAGTCATTCACCAAGTAAATTAAAGGCAAAAATGGGGTGTGGAGCACAGTTCAGCGGAATGGACACTTCACATGTACATATGAAGCCTTGGGTTCAATCCCAGTACCCCTACTGCACCATGAAAAAAAGGGGCAAAACTGCTTTTCTATGAAAAGAAAGGAATTTACAAGACTTTTTAAAAACTGAGTATTAATGTAAAGCCTAAATGACAAATATACTTTGAAAAATAAAACTCTGCGAAAACTGTGTCCTCTCTCCCCAAAGCAATCGCGGCAGCGCGGAAGGCCCCGCTCCCAACCCACCTGGAACTGGACTCCCGCAGGCGGCTGTGCTGAACCACGGAGGTGGCGGGGCTGATGTTGGGGGTGGCGCAGCGCGACGTGCTCAGGTCACACTGGTCCAGCAGCTTCAGCAGCTCTTCCTCCGTGGGGCCGCCGACGTCTGGGGAGAACAGAGGCTCAGAGTACTCCCCCCGGTCAGAAGCCCGCAGGGAGCCGCGCCCGCCTGCGGAGGACCTACCCTTGTCCTCACTCTTGCTGACCATGTCCATCGCCGTGGTCAGGTCCCACATCTGAATGCTGCCGTTGGTGTGGCCTGTGAACAGGTAGCGCCGCGGCCGCGAGCCCATCCTGCTGGAGCCCTCGCACTCGCGCACGGTGAAGGAGGAGATGGTCGTGCAGTCCACGGCCTGGATCTCACAGATCCTGCAAAGCAGCGGGGCGGTGTGACCACGGCAGCAGAACACTGTGTCCTAACTTTCTACGTGCAGTCACAGCTGCGCATGCCCCTGAAGCAGACTCAGAGGACCCGGGCCAGTCAGCAGGAGTACAGTTCAAGCTGAGGTGTTTTCAGGCTAGAGAAAAGGTTCTTACATAAAGAATGATGCATCAGCTAACCAAAATAAAGCAAATAATGTCAGCTAGAAGAGCGGGAAGAGCCTGATGAGACTGAGTTCTTTAAAAGGAGCCGCTGTGAAAAAAGGCAGAAAGAAAAATGCGAAGTAAACAGAAATCAGGCTGAAGAGAGCTTGAAAACGTCATTAAAACATATGTACAAAAAAAAATACAAAACCCAGGGGGAAAAACACAGCCCTACAGATGCCTACACGGTACTTTCTACTAGGACAATGCACTTAACTTATCAAAGCACTTTTACAGCTACTGCATTGATTTTCAAAAGACTTCTAAAAAAACCTGAATAGAACAACACTTTTTTTTTGGTGGTACTGCGTACTGAACTCTGGGCTTCACACGTACTAGACAAACACTCTACACTAAGTCAACTAATCCATGCTCTTTTTAAATTTTATTTCGAAATCGGTCTCACTGAATTGCCCAGCCTGTCACCCAACTTGCAACCCTCCTGCCTCAGCCTCCAGAGTAGCTGGACTTAGAAATATGGGCCATATCCCGAGCTATAACACTTCTTATCTAGCCTACAAATGAAGAAGCCAGGGATAATGTAAAGCAATGACTTTCCCAAGTCATATAAGGGTTAGCTGAATTGTGCTTCTTGCTTCAAAACAAAGTTGAAGGAGCTAATTAAAAAAGAAAGGAAAAAGAATCGGCATCATTTAAATCTGAGGGAGAGGAGAAACTACAGTCTACATAAGGATGAGACACATCACAACGTCAGCAAGTAGAACGCGAAGGCAAGCTGATGTCTAGTCGGCGAGGGCCAAGTGGGAAGTGCCAGAGGCCATGCCGGTCTCACTCCTGACTTCAAGAGAAAGGCTTTCAAAACGCCACCCCTGGAGATGAGGCTTGCAACAATTATTTCTGTAGATTATCAGGTTAAAAGACTACTTTCCTCAGGTGCTAGGATTTTTAAATATCACAAATGAGTGTAACTTGTCAAATGTCTTCTGTTTATATCAAGATGATCATAATTTTTCTCACTGAGGGTGTAGTGAATAAACATTCATTGTTGATTAATATTTACAAATTTAGTAACAATTAAAGTAAGTTCCTGCTTTAAGATAAACCGACATTTATGTGTTGCTTTTGCTCTTTTCACCCCTTTGAAACAGACTCCTCGGAATGACTCCTTCACATTTTTCTACAGATTTTTTTCCCGCTTCCCTACAATAAAATCCCTTCCTTTCACTTCTCTGTTAAGAGGCTGAACGCCTACACACTGGCTTTGCTGCACAGGAACTTCGTAAAGACTGATTTCCCGCTGCTTCCACACAGCAGCTTCTGTTTATCTTTATAACCGTGTTTTCCTTCAGGAATCAGAAACTTAAAAAACGATACAATTGTTTTCATCATGCAGAAATTAGCTGACAACAATATACGGACACTCTCTGGAATAACAGAAAGGGAGATATTAAAATTTTACGCGGACATGAGATCTTACGTTGGTAGAGGGTTATGACACCACTTTTAATAAACGTTCGGCAGCTTCTTGCTGAATACACACCGAACGCTAAATCACAGTGCTTTACAACGTTTTGTGAGATAACAATTTGGCCTCCAACTCTATTACAGGCTCCTAATACATTTTCTTCTAAAATAAATAGATAAAGCAAGCTTCCAAAAAGATGATTTGGTACATAAAAGTCATTTTCTGTAATTAATTTACTGATCAGCTGCTAATGAAGACATGTAATAAACTTTGATAGGATGGAGATTTAGTGTCTCGCAAGGAGTTTACTCATTAGAATACTGTGTAATACGGACATGCTGAAGAAAGACAACCAAGACTCTAAAAAATATCAACAGCTCAGTAACATTAAAACGAACACAGACAACTTGCTTCCTAACTATAAATAGGAACTTTCCTTTTGTCGTTGGTCTGGCATGCACAAAAATCTGTTTTTGAAGAAAAACATGAAAGCTCAATTTGATACTACAAATGATTTTAAAAGTAAAATTTCAGCCAACACAGAAGAAACTTTTACTGAACTCTACTATAGTCTCAAGACTATGCATGGTATTTTGTATGTTTTTACCTCATTTTATCCAATAAAAATAGTTGAATCTTATGTTGTAGAGAAACTGACTCTTATTTAGTGAAGAAACCAGAGCTAAAGGAAACAAATTTACATAGTTACTATCAGGAAGTAATGAGAATTAGAATGAAGTTTATCTGTCATCAAATTCACTTCGTCCTTCATCTAAAGTCTAAACAGAAATCATCTCTTGAAGGCAAACCCAGAACAGTGCCGGCCCCTGTCACGGAAGCACTGGGGCAGCAGCCTTCGCCCTGTGCAAGTTCTGAGACAAACACAAGCAGGGTTTTTGTTCTCATGGAAAAAGGTAACTTCCCGCTGATTTAAAGGAGGCAGGAGGGGGAAAATGGCAAAAAATATGACAGGAAACGTGGGTAATGAACTATAAGCTGCGTGTCAAGACTATGCCAACTGCAGTTCTTAATGAGCCACATTTAACTGCTCACTCATTTCTGTTCGTTAAGGGTACACTGACAGTAAGAAAATCTGTAGTTTATTTTATTTGAGATGCAAATAATGTATACAGAGTTGTATGTGATGGGACTAAAAATATTTAAATTCTAGGCTTCCGTCCCCACCAGAAAGGAACTGAATGTTCTTATGAAAAAAACTGCTCAATGGTTATCCATTTTGTCATGAATCAAATTTTGGGATCAAGTTTGGACATGAAAGAAGTTCACTGTGTTTTTATTCTACACTAGTGCTAGTTGTTCCTGACTATCCAAAGCACCCGTGAAAATACTCTAGACAACAAGGACTAGTGTTTTAATTAATTTATGCAGAGATAACGAATAGACTTCTCCCAACGTGCCCCTAGTCGCCCGCCGGCACCAGTGTAAGAGACTGCGGCCTAGGTTTCACAGGACACAGCAAGCTCTGAGCGCGAGCATCTGCACAGCACGGCATCACCTCTTCCCGGTGGATGAGAGCCGGACGAACAGTTTGTTGGTGATGGGAACAACTTTCTGAATAAACACCTGCTGGTCGTCTCGCTCTCCAAAAGGCCCTTGGTCAGAAAAGAAAAAATATCAGAGTAAGTTCATTACGATTTAATTTGTTTTATTTTACAAGAGTTAACCTTAATATGTGTCCTACAAAAAGAATTTTTCACGTCTATCAATGTTTCCCTGAACTTCAGTCAAAATCAGATGTAAAATGCAATGTTAGAAGGACTTTCACTTACATTAAAACATTTTAAAGAAATATACAGTATTTCTGAATTAAATTTACTCATTAAAGCCATGAAAGCTGGAGGCACAGTCTGCAGAGGGGTCTGGGAAACAGTACTAGGAGGAGACCGGGCAACATATTTAATGTCTTTGAGGATGTGCTTAGAACCTTGTGACTTAGAAAGAGGGGCCTACAGTATAGGGCAACAGCAGAGCACAGACGCAGCACGCGTGAAGCCCTAGATCTGCGCTCCAGCACCAGAAAGGGAGGAATAAACTACGTCACTTCACGTATTCATTTCTGAAAGCCAACAAGCAATTTAAATTACACTTAAAAAGTATCACTTCACTAGTTAGAATTAATCAGACACCTCCATTAACCACATCTGTCCCTTCATCATTTTCTAAAGATGAAATTAAAAGAAAATTAACTCCATATAGGGTAGTCAGTAAACCAAAATAGGAAAACACCAGTAAATATCCAAAGAGCAAAGTACAACATGAAATTCCCTCTTGGTTGAGTATTCCTGAGCCACTGTGCCTGGGGCTACAAGTGTTCCCAAACGTTGGGTTTCAGTTTTAGATTTTGGAAATTTGCATATACGGGGTATCTTGGAGATGGGACCTAAGATTAAATACAAAGTTTATATTTCACATACACCTCATATGCACAGACTGAGGCTAATTTTATCAGTATTTTTAATAATTTTGTCTGTAAAAGTTTCGTCACGTACAGTTTTTCCACTTTTCTTGACCCGCTGAAAAGTTTTGGATGGTGGAATATTTAGGATTCAGATTTTTGGACTGGTGATGTTGGACCTGTACTGAGTTATATTTTGCAAGGTTTTTAGTGTAAAAAAGAAAGATGGAATTATTTTCACTTTACTGTCCCGGGCAAAGCAGGTAAACAGTCTACAATATAAAAAGCATTGACATGCAAAACCTAAAAACATCAAGATTTAATGTTTTCGGGGGCTGGGGATTTAGCTCAGCGGCAAAGCGCCTGCCTGGCAAGCGCAAGGTCGTGAGTTCAGTTCCCGGTACCAGAGAAAAACCAAATGGTTGTTATATTACATATTTTGTCTTCAAAGTAGCTGTTCAGATTACTAGATATAAACATGTAAAAAAAAAAAAAAAAAAAAAAAAAGATTTAATGTTTTCATGCTCATTAGCTAAAATAGTATTAACTTACTATTTATAAAACTTCTGATATGTGATATACAACAAAATTTCTGAAGACAATCTATCCCAAGTTATACGAACAACACTTAATGAAACAGCAGCATCTGTTATATTAGTTAGCAAACACATTATGCTTCCTATGTGCCATGAAAAATGCTTCACAAGTATTAAGTCATTCTCACCATCACAGTAACACATAGGAAGGTACTGCTATTATCTCCATTTTACAGATGAGCAAACTAAGACACCAGGAGACTGCGAACCAGAGGCATCACGGGTCCTACGCAGCAGAACTGGAATTCGAATGAACTCACTGTCTGGCTCTGCGAGGCCTTTCCGACCCACCACCGCACAGCCTGCCCAACTGCCGCACAGTTCTCTGAAGTCTGACCCCACCGAGACGGGCGACAGTCCCCCTCCCATATCCCACGAACATGCCAAAGCAGTGGTGACGACAACCCCTACGGAAAAGGGTCCTCCCTCCCCTGAGCCCTGGCGTTCCCCTCTCAGAGGTTAGGCCTGGGGTTCAATCTCCAGAGCCCCAAAGAATAAAAAACAAAACCACGCAACTCGATACTGACATGAAGTGCGCCCATGACCTAACGCTTCCCACCTCAGCCAGCTACCCAGGGCCCCCGGCTCAGTCTCCCAACTCTCCCCAAATGGCTCCTTTCCCTGGGACACAAAGCATCCTCTCGTGGTTCCGCCTTCAGCGGGGAGAAGCGAACAGGCTTCACAGATGTGAGAGAGACCGCTCTGCCTTCTCACTAACTGTCACTTCTCCGTCGTGGTCCCTGCCAGTCTCGGTCTCCCCACCGTCCATCACGGCCTTGCACAGCATCGTTCTGTTCCACTCACCTGTACGTCAGTCTCTTAGGACATTTCTCTTCGTAACTGTAAGGAGGAAAGAAAACCCTCGCGGCCCTTTATGCTAGTGGGCTCTGACGTTAACCCACCAGACTTGCTAGGTCCTCTTTAAATGCACTCCACAAATGCTCTCCCTGAACAAGCCAGCTGCTCCTGGGCCAGCTTCCTCTGTGCCCACGACGGGTCACACAAGGACCGGGCAAGGTCCTTCTCCGGGCCTGGACACAGACACGAAGAACGAGGGACATAGGCTACTATTATACAATAAATATCTAGCATCATTCTCAAAATTCTTCAAAAGCTTTTGTTCCTTATAAGATAGAATCTAAACCTAGTTTGGTGCAGAGAAGCTTCCATTACCTGGCCCCTCCCTGTCCCCCAGGTCTCATCCATGTACCCCGTAAGCCAGCACTGGGCCCGGACACGACGAAGGGGACAGGCTGTATTTGCCTGCCGAGAATGTCCCCACCGCAGAACCGCGCATATCCAATGCACACTGCCATCCTCCCATGTCAGTTCAAACGCCAGACCTCCACAAGGTGTTCTATTTCTGAATGCCAGTTTTCCATCCACGTTAAGTGCAGAGAGAAGCCTTTTCATGACATTGCCAAGGCTCAAAGTGTAGCACCCTGCACAGATCCTGGTACTCTCTCCTGGGTCCTATCTTTCCTCAGACCTTGAGGATGGTGTGTAAAATGCAACTGTTTTCTTTTTATTTCTACTGCCTACTATCTTCTAAATTAACGCTCACCATGCTTTTTTCTTCTATTTATTTGACACAGGGTCTTGCTATGTATTCCAAGCTAGCCTTAAACTCACTCTAGTTTGAGGCTGGCCTCAAATTCCAAGTAATATTCCTGCATTGGCCTCCAGGGCTGGGATTAGATGTGTGCACCACCACTCCCAGCTTCACTGAAAAAAATTTTTTTTGAGATTTGTAATGTCTAGAGTAAAACCGCTCAATAAACATTTGTTGAAGAAAGAAAAACAGAAACTTCAGTTTCTAACATCATGTAGAAAACTGGAGTCCACAGCAAGTGTGAGAACTGATGCTGCTAAGCACTTCTAAAAAAACTAAAACTGTAGCAGGACAGTTCTCTAAAGTCTTACATTTTTAAAGTATTCTGAAATCTTCACATAGTCTCGATGAATGTAAGTTTCAGTTTCACAGCAATCCTTTCTGTCCTCCATCAGTAGTGTAATTTCTGCTTATACAACACGACTAGAAAGGTCCATTAGTCAACCAAGAGGTCCTACAGAAGCATTACAGAAATACTGAGATACACTGCACGCAGAGTAGTTTCAAACAGACCCTGGCAGGAAATCGTCTGTCTCCGGATGACCGTATGTACACGTGAGGGCCCGTGCCTGTACGCACCACACACAGAGAGACAAGTCAAACTACCTTTGTACACCTTCTGCTGAGGTCAGGGCACACCAATGAACACAGGCTTCATCGTTTCCTAATGGACATTATGATGCCATCAATATGACTGTGACTATATAAAAACACCAGCCCTTTTCTAACTTCAATTTTATTTCCGGTACGTTATTAGTACTACAAGAAGAGGTGTTAAAAGTTTCTAGTGTGAAAAGTTCTCATGGCTTTAGCTAGAGACAAAAGTGAACATTTGGAGATGACATTATTCAAATAAACACTAGTAACATAAAAAAATTGGTTTAAGTAACTTTTAAACAATAAAAAATGCTTCTGTAATATAATTCTGTGAATTCACAGAAACTATTTAGAAGCACTAAATTTCAGTGCTAAATAACTTTCAAAATTAGAATGAAAAATCTGTATTTGAAACTCATTTTTCGATTCTGCCGCCACTGACATACTTCTCTTGCACTGCTCACATGCCGCCTGGAACCTCTCACACTCTGACCCACCTATGTCATTTCCGGAGGAGTAGCTCCCATGGCTTTCGGTCTCTTCCAAGGACAGGATCTTGAACGATGCTAACGGCGTGGAACCTGGCTGAGTAGAGATCATTCCTCTGAACCTCGTTACTGTCCATGTGCGGACGTGATTATTATCTGCACAGACTAGAGAACATAAAAGGGTTACAGAAAGTAAGGGCACCCCGAAATCACCTTTTTACAGCACATTTTAATTTTTTCATTGTGATCCACATTAAACATATTGTAGGACATATTAAGTGGCAAAGGACATGTTTACTTTAAAATTACACTTAACTCGTACCTAGCTAACAGAAGTGAGAGGACTGAATATAGTTTATCTTAATGGAAATATAAGGTACATAGACAAATCTATACGATCCTTATAAAAATAGTTTGTAAAGTATAAATACAGAGACGGTTTAAAAAATGTGTAAGAGACAAGACATTGAGTATTATGCACTTTTGTGGGTAAACTATGGAGTAAATGGCTTCCAAGCTTATTTTTCCAGTCATACAAACTGTTTCTGCTTATGTGACTCAAGTTCAGGGGTTACTGAACAATCACTGTCACAAATGACATTTGCCAAGTATTCTGCAGGAATCAGCTACTTATTGCCCACCCAAGGTTACATTACGGAACATTAAGACTCCGTATGGAGCTGAGCACTATTTTTATATAAAGTAAGAATGTCTGCATTAAGAAGCATGATCCAATTTTATTCCTGTTTTGAATGGAAATACCATTAAATGGTTGTATAATGAGATCACTCCTAACCTATTTCCATTTTTTTTATCTGAGTACATACTCTATTGAAAATAAACACCAAAAATGGCATCAGTAATCCAAGAGCTGTACTTTTTGGCACGCCTTAATTAAAAAAACTATTTGTTGCTTATAACAATCTCAGAAAGTCTGTTAGTGTCAACAGCGAGCCTCGATCTTACCAGTAAATGGTAATGAAGCGCCCAAACCTCTCCTAGGCGCATACAGCACTTTCTGCTGGTAAAACAGCAATTACGTATTTTAAACCAAACTTTAGAAGAATTTTAATTTTGGAAAATAGCAACATTTGTACACCTTTTATTCTTATGTAACGAAATTCTCCATTCTCAGAATGTCAATTTTCTAATAAAAATGACACATTTAGTTTTAAGGTATTAAATCACAGGAAATAACTTTCTAATTTCACTATTAACTTTACTAGCATTCAGAAAAATAATTTAAATAACTTTGGCTAATTTAATTGGGTACTTATAACAATTTTTAGTATTAGATATTATGCAAAAATTTTGCTTTCAAAAGTTTCTGATGTTCATCAGAACACACTAGAAGAAAAAAATGTGACTACTTTTATGGCGCTATCCACTAGGTGGCAGAATACTGTAACTAAGGATATGTCAAGATCAGATTTCTAGTTACAATGGACGTTCTTCTTTTCTCTTTTTGAGACGAGGTCTCACTACATAGCCCAGTTGGCTTTGAATTTGAGATCCTCCTGCCTCAGACTCACAGGGCTGGAGTGACAGGCATGCACCTCCATGCCCAGCTAAACATGACTTTTTCTTCATAATCTTTAAACTTCAAACCTACATGAACTGTTTCACGTTAAGATACAAATTTTACTAAGTTCCTGGGCATCACACCCCACCACAGCATTGCAGCCACAAAAGCAACAGCCATTACTTACTGTTCTCTCTAAGCACTGTCACGTCACAGACGTGCTGCCAAAAGGAGCACAGCATTATCTTTTAAAGAACGCCACACGACAGTCTGTGTTCTCACAGGAGCAAACTGCCTTACTTCATGCAACACTCACGCAGCACTGTTTGCGCGCCAAGTGCTACGCTGAGCGCCAAGACTAAAGGGAGAACCAAAGCGCTCACGGGCGCACAACTCCCACTCCCTAGGAGGAGGCGGACGGCAAACAAGCTAATAAATGATCAGGTGAGACGTCTATGAAGAAAACAGTCAGGGATTACTGAAAAGAGCACTGTCGGACTGGCTAGTTTACACTGATGCCCAATGAGGACGTATCTGAAACGGGACCTGAATGACAAGGCAGCCAAACAAGTCTCTCAGCGACACACTTCAAGCAAAAAGGACAACTGCAAAAGCTCCAAGGCATTTTTAAGAAACAAAACCAATAGGTCACAAGCGAGAGAAAAGTGGGTGGAGCGTTAGGAAGAGAGCGGGAAGGTAAACAGCATCTAGAGCAGAGAAAATGATACAGAAATTTGAATTCATTTTAAGTACAATGGGAAGCCACTGGCAATCAGATCCACACTGCATTTCTGTGGGACACCCCCGGCTGATGTGTGGAACACGGAACACAGAGACAAGGTACGAACAAGAGGAGAGAAGCTACTGTACTGACCTCTGCGAGGGAGAATGACTTGAGCTACTGGCCGCCAACAAGAGGCATCAGAGTGGGACACGCGTTACGCACAGCAAGGCCAGCAGACTTCCCAGAGGACCACATGTATGTGAGAGATGAAGGGAAGAATCCGGGGTAATTCCCGCACTCCCAGCCTAAACACATGAGTACATGATGACGGGCCGTACTGAGATGCCTTCTGAGTCGTTAACGATAGAAAGCTCTGTTTTTGTCCAAGTTCAATTACAGACTCCTATGAAGCACAATCAGAGACAGACACAGGACATAGAAGTGTGCAACTCCCTGGATGGTCAGAGTGAAGGAGAAGTCTGCGGGTGGCTGGCAGAGGATAACTACTACTCAGGTCACCGGGGCCAGCACAGCGGGGCCTAGCGAAGCACTCCAGGGGAAGCCAGCACTCGGCAACCGCTGTGCCGAAGGGAGACCAAGCTGCAGAATGAGAGGCTCCTAAGCCGGGCAGGTGCGTCCTCAGGAGAGTACTACTTACGGAAGTCTAAACGAGAGCTTCTCGGGGGATAATTATACCCCAAAGAACGACCCATTCAACAGAAATCATTCACCCGTTCATCCACGGGCAGGCTACCTCCCCTCTAAGCGGTGTCCAACTAAGAACGAGGACAGCGAAGGATGGACCTTCTGGGCATGCTCCATGTAACAGACCCAACAGAGGAGTATGATGCGCATAAATTTCAAACTGGGCGAGAACTGCTCTACAAGAGATAAACGTAAGGAGTCAGACTCTAAGAACCAAGCTCTACTGATACACCTAGCTGCACAATTCAGTCTTCACAAAGCCATGTAGTTCTTCACAAATCATCCGTTCTCTACAGTGAAGTTCTCCAACGGACTTCTACGCTGGGCTTGGCGTGGTACTCATTAAACTACAAATTCGGAACCTAAATTTTCATGAAGTCATCAACATCTAAGTTTTATGGCTGTAGTTCCTTATATTATTATAAGGAACTACAAACCCAAGTGTTATCTTCAGAAAATCTTATATATCCTACTAACCCTACTAGTTTTAATAGTTTTATAAGATTATCAAGTATCAAAGTATCTAGATCTACAACTCCAGCATTAAATCTTATAATAACCAAATTTATACAAAAATTCCAACTTAGAAAACTTCTTAATAAAAACTTTTCTCAACAGGGTTGTGAGAAATATTTTGAAATAAGCCTTAAGAACAAAAATATTAGGGAACAGATAAAAAATAGATCACTCCTAAATTTATGTATACTACAACCAGGTAAAGTCAAAGACATCTTTAAAACACGATCATAACATTTCCTCAGTTATAACTTTCATTTCTTGCTGGGCATGGTGGTGTATGCCTGTAATCCCAGCACTCGGGAGGCTGAGGTAGGAGTATGGCCACAGGTTCAAGGCCAGCCTAGGCTACATAGTGAGTTCAAGGCCAGTCTGACCTACGTAGCAAGACCTTGTCTCAAAAAAAAGAAAACAAAAAAACCCTTTCATTTCTTTTCATGTATTTTTCTCACAGCATCACAATCACACTAGCATTCTTTATTTTTTTTTTTTGAGACAAGGTCTTACTAGGTAGCTCAGGTTGGACCCAAACTCACAGCCATCCTCCTGTCTCAGCCTCCCAAGTGCTGGGATTATAGGCCACACCACCATGCCCAGCCATTCCCACCTTTTTTGTTTGCAGGGGGACTAGAAATGCCACGCAAAGCCAAGCGCTCTGTGAGGGTCTCCTTACTACACCAGCAGCACCACGTTACCTGACACCAGGTGTTTCTCCGACAGCATGATCTTTGTCACGGGGCTTCGGTGAACCGTGAAAGTCTGGAAGAGCTGAGGGCCCGAGCCGACCGTCTCTGGGTGCTGCACTATCACTCGCACTGCTCCAGAGCTCGTACCATAGGCGATCTCAATCCAGTTCCCACTGACACCTGCGGAGGCAAAAGTGCAGAGTGGAACCCCAGGTAACGATAAAAAGCAAACTGCCACCGCAGAGCTCTCCGGTGATGCAAAGGGCGGAGCAGGAGTCAATGTCTGCGACCAAAACCCGCTCCGCAAAGGAGTCTGAGTACTTCTCTGCCCATCTTAAAACCGTTATCTCTTTCATAAAATCTTCCCTAACCCTCCCAGGTAAACTGCTCCCCTCCTCCATCTGCACATCCCAGGTTCCATCAGACTGATTTCCACCTATCTGCCCACTTCCATGCCTTAGTGTCGCGGACTCCTCAGTCTTCTTCTCATGTCACTTTCAGAGAGCCTGAGGCATGGTAGGTGCTAATACATGTTTAAAGAATTCATAAATCTGCCACCCTAAACTGTCACTGAAATAGCACAGTGCCCTAATACGGCACATAAACTGCTAGTCTAGAATGGCCACCTCACTTACTTTTACTCCGATACTGACTCATCCCTGAATAATCAAGACTGTGCGCTACGGCGCGGTTTCAGAACACTGCACGATGGCGTCCACACCCGTTACGCGGCCCACGTCACACTTCCACCACCTGCGCTGCCTCTTCTGATCATGCAGGTTCAGCTGTGGATTTTATTTTAAGCACGTCTGCAGACCCCATCACAAATTTAAAGACAGGATGGAGGTCAGTGACCTGTATTTTTAAAAACCCAGAGAACCAACTAGCTTTATGAGCCGTCCTTTCTGCCGTACCTGAGAATACACAAATCCAAGGAATGGGAGCACACCCCGGAAACCCCTCCTTTAGCCTGAAAGATGGCTCCAGGTTTGTGCTTTACACAGGTTCGTGCTCTACGCCTTTCCGCAATCACAAGGAAAGGTTCTCATGTATAAAACTACTGGTCTGATCTCCACATCTACATTACATTGGAGCAAATAAAAACCAAAAACTTACACTTCACTCTCCCCTCTCCAGCACGCTTTCTATAAGGGAACAAAGAGTAACGATTTTGAACTTCGCACGCCATGCTGTCTGTCATAGTCTCTCACCTCCTCACGCTGGCATAAACATAGTCAAAGGCTATGTGAAGCCATTGACAAAAAAAGATGATCTGGGCGGCAAGCCATGGTTCACTGACTTGTTCTACAGCACAATAGTTCCAATTCCAGCCCAACTCATGTGCACACAGCAAAGTATCTCTTTCCTACTAACGGTGATGAGTTCCCTGAACAGTCAATAAAATGATCACGTACAGCAGCACAGCCGAATCTATCATTACTTCACACTACGCCATACTTCTTTATATCCTTCTCATTACAGTAAGTCTGAAGTTTCCCACTTATGTTTATCTTTTACTGTAAAGATAACATTTCTTAAAATTTTATAGCACGGGTCTGTTAACTCTACTGCAACGGCCTCTAAAGGGCAATGCAAGCTGTATACACTGAACTTCTAAATAAAATGTCTGAATAAATAAGTAAATAAATAAAATGTCTTTTCCTCAATTTAAATTTCAAATTCTCCAGGAGACTGGGAATACAGCTCAGTAGTACAGCTCTTGTTTAGCATGCACTAGGGCCTGCGTCCAACTCTCAGCAGCTCAAAGAAAAGAAGGAAACAGAGAAATTCCAAGGAAGTAAGCTTATTTTCCAACACAGGTAAGTCATAAGAAGTTTATTTTTTGGTTAAAAAAGTTACTAATTTTGAAGTTAAATCAATTATTTCACAGAAAATAAATGTCCTTATTTTTTTCTAATTTCAATTACTATAACATAGTTCAAAACATTCAAAACAGGGCTATACTTCGTATGTCCCGCTGCCGGGCGGCTCCGAACCACCAGTGGCACATGCATGACTGTCTCACGGGACAGTCCCATCAGATGGGACAAGCACCCACGGTGTAATCTTGCAAGCCAGAACGAATATGTTGAACAATTCAGAAAGGAAAGAGTTCCAGTTCCAATTTTCCACCTCAAAGTATGTTCATTTACTGGTCACGTTTTACTCTGGCACACAATGAAGTATGTTAGATTAACAGAGATGAAATCTCGTTAGTACTCCAGTTCTTAGAATGGAGCAGATTAGTTTCACCCAGCTGCATAGTAAACTGACGGATAAAAATACATTCTTAGAGGAACTTTAAGAACTTGTAGTAAGTGGTAGCGTACTAACTTGTTTTGGGCGTGAGGTAAACACTCAGAGCAGTAATAGCATCATTCGAAGGGTCATGATAGAGTTCCGTAACAAGAAGATCATTATCCTTCATTCGCAAAGGAAATTTCTGCATATCTAAAAAATAAAAATGTTCCAACAGGATTAAAATAGATAATACATCCATTTTAAATAAAAAATAGCTAATTTTTTTCATTTTAAAAACAATTTAAATAGGCACCTTTTACATATGTGTGTGCTTACCTATGTAATATATTGAGCCATTGTTACATCCCAGCAGAAGAAAGGACCCAGCGGTGTCGTAACTAGTTATGGGGACAACATCTTGAACCTGATGCGGTGAAATTTTTAGAAGTTAGAAAGTAATTGTAATTTCTATGTTCTATTTTATTACCTCCTAACTTTGATACTTTTGATAAAAGGAAACCAGTACCCAGCTTCGGGGGACCCTGAAAATGAACCTCCTTCACGCGCACATGTTCGCGCAGGCACGGGAGCCACGGGGACCTCTCAGGAGCCGCCAATGCAGTTTCCTCTTACAGAGTTTTAAAAATCCTTTCTCACAGCACCACTCTGCTTCTGAGGAACGTCTCCTCTGCATGGATCACTGGGTTACAGCCCACTGGACCTGGAGACCACGTGCGATACATTCCTTCCTTCCACCCCTCTCACCAGCCCAGTCACACAGAGCCAGTAAACACAGGAAGTGATCCAGACAGTAGCTGATCCCTTGGCAATTGATTATAATTTCTTTGAAAATATAGTACTGCTTTCATTCTCCTCACTGAAACTTTTATCTGTTTTCTAGGATGTATGTTTGTTTTTCCAAGTACTAGACTAAGAAGTTCTCTCATACAAATAAACCTAGTTTATAAACTTATAACTACCAGTTTATGTGCTAAGAGAAAAAGCAAAGGACACGAGTTTAACAACCAAGCCAAACACAAAATGCAGTGGCACTAAGATTAAACTGACTCTTCTAAAACTGTTTTTTTAAATAAATAAACCCTCACTTTATAATCAAGCCAGAGATGCACGTGAAACATCACAGATGACATTTATATGAATTATGAGAAACTAAGTTTTATACACAAAAGTCAAAGAGACTTCCAGTCATTTAAAATTCAGAATTATGGAGCTTTTGTCATTTTTGGTTTCATATGAAAGGGTAAAATCTAAACGTGATCTGTTTAGCACGTGTCTCTACGTGTCAGATATGAGCCAAGACGACCAGCACAGAAGAGGAGGTAGGGCTGGGATCCCTCTACGAGCTTGTGAACTTGTGAGTAGGAAGAAAAATAAATTACCGTCGCGGGTGCTAGAATAGGGTGTGACTAGGGGCGGAGCAGAGAAAGGACGGTCCTCGCAAAGCTGGTGTAAAGGGCAAGCGGGGTTCCGAGAGCAAGAAGGGCCTGCAAAGGAAGGTCAGCTGTCGCGCTTCAGTTCAAGAACGAGCCCCGCACTGGCTGAGATCCGAGGTGGCAAAGCGAGGGGTGAGGGCACCGCGCAGCGGCCGGCACTGCGGGGAGAGGGAAGCCGCGTGGCCCTCTCAGGTTCCCCTGCTCTCGGTTTCTGGCCCCAGGTGGTGAGAGCCAGGCTTTTCAACCCCAAGGCCCTTCTGAGCGCTGTTTCTGCCCTGGAGCCGGGGACTGTGGCCTGAAACTTCTGCAAACAGTAAGGCAAAAGCTTGCGTTGTGGGGGTTGTGTCTCAACAAGGGAAATGCCTAAGACATCAACTAAGGAGAGAGAGGAGAAAGTAAATGTCTGACCAAAAAAAAACCAAAACATCAAGATCAAAGATCTCCCACAGAATCTAGGTCCATTCTAATTTGAAAACCAAAAAAGGAGCTAAAACGTGGAAGGAATGACCCCTGCGTCCCAGGCCAGCATATGCTGGACCCGAATCTCTCTTCTCTAGGTGGCTCCTCAGAGAGCCGCAGTTGCTAGCTGCACCAGACACTCTTGCCCTTACCCCATCATCACGCCCTGGCCCAGCGCAGGCTGCTTGCGGGCGATGCCAGGGCGCTGTGTCTGCCACACAGGCGACTCTACAGAACGGAAGGCAGACAGCTTCACACACAGCGGCAACCTTTCCGCTACAGCACTGCTAGAATCTTCCCAGCAGGATGCGGGGGACAGAGCTGGAAGCCAAGAGAGCCCGCTGACTCTGGATCCAGTTGTCAGTGAAGGGCTGGCAGCAGCCCCGTCTAGGAAAGCCCTGGCGGCATCCGTTCTCTGGAGGATGAGGGTGAGCACCGGGCTGCAGGGCTTCCTCCTTCCTCACCGCAACCCCCAGCCACGGGTGCTTTCCTCCTCCTCCACCCCTCAGTGCGGGGAGAAGAGCGGAGAGAGGGGCGCAGGAGCGGGGCAGGTCTCTCCCGGCACGGGCTGTTCCACACTACAGCTAGGGCTGGGGCCTTTCGGGGTTTTTCTTTTGAGACGGCCTCACTGAACTGTCCAAGCTGGGCTCAAATTCGAAATCCTTCTGCCTCAGCCTCCCAGACGCCCAGCTTCCCTGTCTTTTGGCTGTATTTCTACGTAATTCATCGAATTTGCTTTTTGTCTTCATTTTCATTTTCAGTAACCTTTTAAGTTCTAGTACTTCATTTTCCTGTTTTCAAATTAGTTTTATTCTATCCTGACAGTCTATGTCTTTCTCTTTAATAACCTGGAAATTTATAGTACCTATTACTTCAAGTTTGCCCAGTTTTGAGGATGTAAGTGCTCATGTTTTAACATTTGATAACTCTGCTCATTTGTTTTTATGTCTGAGAAAATCTGGGGAGAGTCAGCTCATTTTCAGTCAAATTTACTTCCTCTGGGGATGTTCCATGTGCTGGTCTTGTCAAAGTGCCCAAACTGGCTTCATGCCCACATCTAAGAGCGTCAGTGGCCATGGATGCGCTGGGAGACTGGAGCTTCCACCCCACAAGGGCCTGTCTCTGTGCTCGAGTCACGTAGCTGTGGAGCTCCCAACTTGACCGTTTCCCTTTCAGTTTCTCATGGAGGGTTTCCACCCGTACCACCACTCTACATTCCCAGATAACAAACTTTCTTATCTTTAAAAACAGCAGCTGTATTCCTGCAATTCGCTGCATGAACGACTTCCTTTCCTTTACGGAACATGTAACATTTGAAACGCCACATAGTTTCCAAAATTCTTGCTTTATTAGCACAAGTTAGCGGTATGTAAGGATTACAGTTGTCTTGGGATGCTTGTACGTACACAAACACAGCTGAGTTCTTTTTTCTTTATCCCTACCTTTCCCCTCTCTCCACGCTCCTTCCAACTTCTGGTCCTCATCCATTTGAAAAAGATCTCGTGACTTCCTATTTACCTTATCTCTGTTCTGTGCTGTCTGTCTCTCTCTCTATATATATAAAATTACTTGAGTTTCTCATGTAAAACAAACCATGCAATATTTAAGCTCGTGTGTATGACTTCTTTCACTTACTATTACGGCAAACTTTTCTTCTTATTCTGTAGGATGTCTCTTCTCTCCGCTGGTCATTTCCTTTGCTGTACAGAACTTTATAATTCGACACGATTCCTTTTGCTGGTTCTTGGTATCACTTCTTTGCCACTGAGGTTCTGTTCTTCCCCAGTCTATGTCTTATAGAGTTTTACCCATTTTATCTTCAGCAGGTTGAGTGCTTCTGTCTTAACATGTAGATCTTTGATCCACTCTGACTTTCATTCAGTACGTGGTGAGCGATGAGCACACAGGCTCAGTCTTCTGCACGTGGCTATCCAGTGGCCCCAGCATCGTTTATTAAAGAGGCCATCTTTCCTCCAGAACAGATTTCTGGCCCCTAAGTAAAGATCAAATAGCTGAATGTCCCTGAGGTTGTTCCTCCTTCCCCTATTCTGTTACAATGACCCACACGCCTATTTTGTCAGACTTTCTATTTCCAAGATTATCTAATAAAAATTTCCCAGTCTCCTTCTCAGGGACTGAAGCAGACCTTTAAAGCTTCAAATTTTTGCAAGGGGCTCAATTTCCGCTTTCCATGAAGCCATGTTTCCTGGTTTTGGATAAAGTCCCAGGACCTAGAGGCTTTATTTTGATGAATGGTATGTTAATATAAATAAATAAGACTTAATAGTCAGTACAGACATGTACTATAAAGACAGCTTTAATATTTGTATCCGGTACTTCTCCATGCAGGAAGGGTAGAGACTTAAATCAGTGAATCCTGGGCTGGGGATTTAGCTCAGCGGCAAAAGCGCCTGCCTGGCAAGCGCAAGGTCGTGAGTTCGGTTCCCCATACCGGAGAAAAACCAAAAAAAAAAAAAAAAATAGTGAATCCCACTATCTTACTGTGAACTCCAAGTACACACTTAGAACAATGGTCAGTATGTAGCAGGTATGCCTAACCTGCAGACCAAGGAAGTCCACTCAGAATCCTTGGTCAGGGTCTATGCTTCCTCCCTGAACCTGGCCTCCACTGGCAAGGCTGTCCTTGGGACAAAGGCTTAAATTGAAGTTCCCTATTCCCCAAAATGAGCACAAGGCATGCTCAGAGATCCTTCAGTAAACAAGGTATGTACGTGGTTTTCCAGGACTTCCAAAACTGTGTCTTGTAAAATAGGCCGTTTACTCATGAGAGCTGAACATGACTAATTGTTTCCAAGATAAATCTCAATTCATACTCAAAGCTGCTAGTATGCTATGTACCTTAGTGAATGCTACTACCTGACAACACAAAGGAACTCCTTTTGAGACAATGTGCGTGCCTTGTATGTGAAAAGGAAGAGTAAAAAAAGGGAACTAAAACTAAAGTATTTCTTTAAAATTTTTTAACCTAAATTAGGTATGTCTTTAGAAAGTGTTATTAATATTTTACTGAAGCTTTCTTGATGAGACGCTATTATAAACAAAGGAGCTCACGAAGGCTTTGAACCTTAAATCTGCAAATATACAAACCCTCTCTGACTCAAATACTTCAATCCATCTTGATTATACATACATCCAGAATAAGAACTGCCGGGGTTGTCCTGGTACTTTCTGTGTTACTATTCATGGGCAGAACTACTGCTAAAAACCTAATCAGGACCCATCCAACCAGTGCCACAGCAGGCCCGGAGTGAGGGGAGTTGGCCTCTGGTCAGAGCTGTCAGGACTTGCAGATCAGAAGCTGAGACTCCATTATACACTATCTCTGTAAGGCACACAAAGAAACCCAGCTAGCAAAGTCACAGCACTTGTTTGCTGCATGAATGCTCAACTTCCTGAAACAATGCCAAATCTGGTTTGTCAGATACGGTTCTGCAGTCATCCACACACCAAGCAAGAAGCAATGAAGTATATAAAAGCTTAAGACAAATACATCTACTCTGAGGACATGACACTAAAACTTTTATATGTAACTCTGAAAACAAAACAAGTAACAAAAAAGCACGTTCCCTCAGTAACCAAAACTATATTAGCATTTTCATGGCAGACACTGTAGTCTCAGACCTGATGTAACTAGCAAAGTAAAGGCATAAAAGCAGAACTTCCATAAATCAACAGAACTCACATTCCTCTTTATAGAATTGCCACCAGCTAAAGAATCCTTCGATCCATTTCTAAATTTTAGATTCATCTTGATAGATGAATGTCCCCTGACCATTATTTTTATGACAACCATTATAAAGCTTTCTATTGTGCCTGTATGGAAGGTCCATTCTAGCTAATATTTTTTTCCATAAATACAACTTCAGTACCTTTATAGAAAAGGAAACCTAGTTTTCGCAGCCTGTAATTCCTTTCACTGGAAAGTAGTCATCCTAACGCCATCTTCCCAGGATGTCAGAGTCCTAAGAAGAAGAACGCTCCTCTAGAATCTCCACTCACAACTTGCCTAGATGATCCTTGCTATCAACCCATCACTTTCGCAGAACATCTTAGCACCTGGGTCAGTTATTTTCATCTCATTCTCTGCCACCTACTGGATATCCTGGCACGCAAATGTATATTACTGTCCCTCACATTGAGGGACGGCTCCCTGGCCCCATGGCAAGGACAGTCATTCATTAGTATCTGCAAGCGACTGGCTTCAAGACCCCTCAGGATACCAACACCCTCAGATGCTACGTACAGAAAAGATGGCATTCACGTATCATCTGTACACCTTCCCCCACATATTTCAAATCACCTCTAGGCTATTTACAATACTTAATGTAACTGCTTCGTCAACAGTAGTAAAACTGTACTGTTTATGCAAAGGGTCTCTATGAGGCAGTCAAAAGATAAAATAGTTAAATTCTAAAACAATTATTACTGTATAGGAAAAGACATACTGCCATTAACCTGCCTCAGAGCACTCCTTCCTCGCTTCAGAACTCTGATCCCACTCCTGCCCCTTTCTGAAACAGCTCTACAAGTTTTCTTGCACTGTTTTGCATTGTGCTTCCTGGTTGTCTCCATGTCCTAAACGAACTCAAAATACTATTTTCCATGGTTTCTGACTTTCCAGAAGAGTCAGAAGTCGCACAATACGAAGGCTCACATTGATTTTACGAGCCTGTCTTTCCAACAGCATGAGCAGCAGTGTTCACCATGTCTGACTCACTGAGAACTTGCAGAACTGCTTAAGCAAGTGGCAAGAACGATGGGATAGGGATGTCTGAAATGGGAAGTATTTTGCGGGGGACTAATGGCTATGATTTTAGGTTTTTTGAAATGTAACCCTTCACTGCATCGGACATTTTGATCATACCCCATGCATGTTCAGCGCAGGCGTGATTTTCCTTCTGTGAACACTTTCCAGCCGTGGCTGACTGGATCTATGGCAGCAACACCCGCGGACATGAGGGCTGAGGGCACCTTCATCCAGGTCAATCCAACGAGCTCCAGCTGGCTACCACGGAGAACTGCTCCCCTGCTAGCCCTAACCCAGCCTCTGCTCACACCCCTCCTTCCAAAGCCTCTCCTCCCTCGCAGCCATCAGTCCGCGTAACTCTCTTGTCCCCTGGCACCCCGCTTCCTTTCTGCATACCTGGCACTTCTTACCTCTTGACCTCACAATTTCAATGACCTTGTCAAATTTCTACTTCCTCCCGCCTTTGGTTGGTCATAATCATTTTATTAAAATTCCAAACCTGAATCAAGCCAATTCTGTTTTCTTTTTTTGGTACCAGAAATCGAACTCAGGACCTTGCGCTTGCCAGGCAGGCGCTGTGCCGCTGAGCTGTACCCCCAGCCCCATTTTCTTTGCTTGCTCCTGTTCTGCTTCTGAGAACTCCAGGGATACTGCAAATGTATGACCCACTTATAATCCCCGCAACCCCTGATAACACATCCCGCCATGTCACAGAGAAAGGAGAGTCTCCCGCCCCTGCTGGGCCGGGCCTGTGGCTGGAGATCTCCACACTGCTGACTTCTGTGCAACCAGAACCCACTTCGGTCCTCGCAACCGCAGAGCCATGCAAGCCTCTCCTGGCCCAGGGAGAAGGACATCACAGCACCGAACATCTTCCCCTCGAGCCCTGGTCTTCCGGTTCTCATGTGGATTCTCCGCTTCCCCCCCAACCAGATTTCGTGAAGGATAACTGGATTCTGTCTGTAATCTCTTAATTCTTCAGCTCCTGCAACACGGCTTTCCCCCACCAAAACCTACAGCACGACTGCAAAGGAGGACACGCTGGGAAAAGCGGCCGCACTTCCCCGTCATTTCAGCTGTGTCTCCTGGCCCTCGGTCTCCTGTCCTCGCCCCGTAAGTCCTAATAACCGCCTGCAGTTTTAATGTTAGTTTTTCTTCCTGTCTATGTACCCTCTTAATGGAAAATCTTATCGATTCTTATTTTTAAATTACCATGGAAGTATGTGGCTTTGAAATACTTATTCCTAGCATTCTTTCCTAAAACCCAAAATGCACTCGCAGCCATGCACTGAACACCTGCACCTGGACACCCATAGGAATCTCAAGGTAAATCTATTTAACCCACCTATTTATTCTTATCTTCCCTACTGGGCTTTCTGCTCTTACTGCATTCTCCATCAATTTAAAATACCACTACCTACTCTGCTATCAAAACTAGACACTCAAAACTAAAACAAATCTCTAATTTTCCACATTCAGTCAGACACCAGGCCCGTGGTTTTAGAAGGTCTATAGTGTTTCAAACAGACTCATCTTCGCCACCTCTGCAGCCCTGCCCCGTGGAACCTCCCGCTTCTTTGCGGGCGTCCTATAGTAACTCTCCCCACATCCCGTCGCCGTGCGTTACAGCCAGCAGTGTTACTGCTCTACAACACGGACTCCCGCCAGAGTGCTCAACTGTTCTTCGTTCTTCAGAATCAAGTGTTAACTGCATGAACCATTTTTAAATTTAGCTCCTACTTATTCTCAAATATTTGAGAGCTAATATTTAGCTTACCATCTTCTCCGGATAGGTCACATATTTTATAGATCTGTGTTTTCACTCAATAAATGAAGTTTGCCTGGAGGATAACCCTACTATAGCACAGAGATTAGAACCTTTCAAGAAAATGAAGAAATGCTGAACCACAGTTTAAAATTTTACTCATTCTTCCAAAGTAACAAACTTCCTGGAAAAGGTGTAACTTGTATCTAGAAATAAACTTACCACTAAATATATTCAATATTCTGGGTAATCAAAAAAAGAAACAGCATGAGTTCCACGAAGAGAAAGTAAACACATAATTGGCGTAAGTTTCTGAAATGTTTTGTTTGTTTAACACGATTCCATTAGAACTAACCTGCCAGTGCTGAGTGACAGCATTCCACACTCCCACTTTCCCCGTGTGACTTGTGGCCACCAACTGGTTTCCAATAAAGAAGAGCGCATCCACAGGAACACCCAGGCTGAACACGCCTTAAAGACAGGACAGACACAGGGGTTAACCGGCCGCCTCTTTGCAGTTAGTCGAAACCTATGTCAGAAACCCAAGGTGACCAGTGTATACCTATTCTCCTTTCTGCAGACGATGCGCCAGGTTTGGTGGGAACCAGAAATGCAAGGCTGGCGCGCCTGTGAGCAGTGGATGGAACTCCTACGCAAGGGGAGTCTGCCCAGCAACCTCGCGGCTCCACTGCCTTTGGACCTGAGGCCGTGCCCTAGCTGTCCACAAAAATAACCGAGCAGGTTTAAAGTGAGCAAATAAAAGAAAAAGGACCCTGGGATCCACGCCAGCTCCAGTAAGTTAGAAAACCCACTGCATCTTCATAAAATCTATAGGGAATGGAGATGATGCTTACTCATGAACCTGACATTTGGAAAGCAGTCATCTGAAGACACACTCGGGAACCTCAACTATCCAGAATGTACGTAAAAACCTACAAGTAAGCAAAAACAAACAAAACGCCCCAGCAAACCACAGTACACTCAAATATTCAGGCCTTTTACGCGAAGTTTATTCTAAACCTCTTGCTTTCTAGCATTTCAGTCTGTTTACTTAAAATGCACTCTATTAGGTTTTGGTAGAGAATGGAGGGCACTAGGGCTTATAGTTTAGCAGAGAAAAAATTGCAAATAACCAATCACAATCTAATACGAAGAGAAGGGAAGGACACACAGAGGACCGCAGTATCTAGAGGAGTAGGTTTGGAGAATCCACCTTAGAAAAGAAGCCGTCTGAGTCTAAAAGTTTAGCGGGGGCTCAGAGGGGGCGGGTGGAGATGGGCAAGCCCCAGGCCTCTGAGTGACTCAGAGGGACGCCCACAGGGACAGCAAGAGCCAGGAAAGCCTGAGACGCCCCGGCTCAGCCTGGGACAGCGACTGTGCCCTGGCAGGGGTCAGTACTCTTCCTCTGCACTAGGAGCCAGCAGAGTCTCCGGGAACCCCGACACCACTGCTCCGGTTCTTATTCATCTCACCTACAAAACAAGGTCCGAGCTAAACATCTCGAGAATTGTTTTCATATTAAAGATACTATAATCAAATTCCAGTACTTACATAGAATACTGTATTACTTGAAAAACACTTTATAGAAAGTGTGTCTTTATCTCATAATGCTGGAAAGTAAGTCTCACCTATAAAACTCTGTTTTATACAGATCTTTGGGTTAAGTATCACTTATTTATTTCAAAAAAGTGCCAGTGTGTCAGTATGAACAATTTCTCAGCATTTAGCTGAAGAAAAAAAGGATACATATGGTCTTAAGAACTCATGGTGGGGGACGAGGGGGGCAATAATTACATGCAACTGCAGTGTACCTTAAAAGCACAAGCTAGAAAAGTTTCTGATTTCTTTTGAATTTTACATCAGTGCTAAGTATTCTCTTCTGTTCAGGTCTATGCTGTATCTCCTGACAGTACACAACATCTTAATACTTTTTTGACTGATAATCTTGGAAAAAAAACAGGCATGTAGCAGGAAGAAAAGAACATACTGCACAGAAAGAAAGAAAAAAGAAAGAAAAAGAGAAAGAAAGGCCAGGTAAGTACTGCTAGCAATATCTTTGATAGGTACAATTTAACTGTATGTATAAATCAGGTTTACATAAACATACACACGAATGGACCACCTCAGCCCTACCTGGCAACTAAAAACTAAAAAAAAACAATGTAAACCACAACACACACAGAAGCAGCTAAGCCCTTTAACCAGAACTGGTTACGAAATAAATCTCCCACTTGGAAACAGGAAATGAGCATCTCACACTGTACACAATTTTAGGGACTGTCACATACAGCACTTTAAATTTCAGGTCAAACAATTTTTCAGGACCCATGAAGCCAACTACGTTCAGTCGCACGGCCCATGTGAAAATCAGAAATAAACAGAAGAAATCCAACGAACAGTGATTACTCTAGAGAAGGATGAGCTTCTGGGAAATCAAGGAGGACGTTCAGAGAGCTCTCACGCAATTTAAAATGTCACTCTGGCTCAAGGCTCAACACTCCTGCCCACCGCAGAGGGGAGACAGCAGTGGATGAATCACGGCAAGCTCCTGGCTCAGGGGCCTTCCTGCTAAATACTGCGCACAGCAGCCCTCCAGCAGCGCTTTCCACCGCCTCTGGGACCGCTCCATCATGGATCCACCAGCACTAACCATTTCCTTTGGACGGTGTTGTCAATTTCCCAAGAACATCTGTAACAACAAACGTGTCCTTTGGAGGACATGAACAAATTTCTACTGCACAGTCTCGGAACACAACTACCACCACATCAGCCTTTGAAAATGAAGCAGAAATAGAATTTCCTTCAGTTATTACAAAAACCAACCTAAAAAGGGAAAAAATAACCTCAACTGGTTTCTTTTCTGCATAATTACCCATGTATTTTATTTCAAAAGTTGTAATACTAAACTTTGTTTTCTAAAGTTGTCAGGAAGCAATCTGCTGCCAGCTGTGACTGAGTAAACAGCACTCTTTTCATCATACTTGAAAACAACACAGAAAACCAGACAGCACCCCCGGGGCCACTACCGCAGGCACTGGGCAACAGGCAGCGGGCACTCAAGGGGCGGGAAACCCTGGAGAAGCGCCACCGTGCCCGGCTCCCAGCAAGGGCACGTTCATCCGGGCAGAGGTGAGAGCCCAGTCAACAGTAATGGGTGCTTGCACTGAGGAAGCAGAGAACCTGAGGCCGGGATGTGGGGGTCAGGTGCCACACAGAAAGAACTGCGCTAGAATGCGGATGGGACGAAAGTCGCACAGGGGTTTTCTAAGGCCCTGGAGGAGGCAAAGCCGTACCTGGTCAGGGTGGGAACCCCCCGAGAATTAAGAAAAAAGAAGAGGCTGTTACAGGGCTGAGAGCTGTTGACTCCAGAGGCCCCAGGTAGGCAGAGGAGGTAATTCCAACTCACTGCAAGGGGTGAGCCCCTGCTGAGCACCTCAGGCATTCCGTTCTGACTCCTGGGAAGCAGATATGCCTCAAAATGAAAGGTGAGGCTGACGTGCTCCCTAACAAAACACAGAACAAGCTCAGGAAGATCAAGAGGACCCTCCCACAGTGTAACCGACTGTCAGAAGAAAACTCCCACTGGTAAAGGAACAAGGACTATGGCATTCTGACCTACCTACAGGCATATCCAACAAGTAATGAGAACTTCCTAAAAATGTGAAGAAAATGTGATCCCAACTAAAAATATGACATGACTCTGATACTGGAATTAGCAAACAAAAATTTCAATCACATACCCACTATGACTGAATAAAAAATGGTGATGATGAGACAAATCTCACCAGAAAAATGTAACTATTAAGGTGGAACCAAAAGGTAGTTTTATAGCTAAAAATAAAACTTTACTAAATGGGATTAACAGTAGACTGCAGCAGAAAAAGGATGAAAAGTATTAAAGGCACATGGATAAAACCTGTCTACACTGAAGAAGAAAACGGGGGAAATGCGGAGAAGCAACTGAGAAGACAGCCTAGGTCAGCGCGGGAAGCTCCCCTTCAGCCCCGCTGGGATGAGGAGGGTGGGCGGGCACGGCCGCAGCCACGCGGGAGGCCAGGAAGCACCGCGCTCACTCTGCAGCCAGGCCTCAGCTGGGGCGAAGCTGGGGTTCAGATGCTCCTCTCAGCCACCAGCGTCCCCTTTCCAGATCACTCCCCTCGCACTGACTGTTCTTTTTATTACTGACCCCGGAAGGGAAGAGCGGCAGTTCAAGCTAACTCTTAGTCCAGGTTAGTTTGCATATGAACCTATGTGAACCAATGAACAATGTATAGAACACTACACACACTGGAGAAACGCAGCACAAACAAGTCCTCCTACCGATCTCACTTCCGCTGCCCCCGTCCTGAACACTCCACAGGATGATGCTGCTCTCCGACGCGACGGCCACCATCTTGTCTTTGTCTCCGTGAGGACCCCCAACCACTTTGGCATTCAAAGCCACGCGCTCGATAGTCCAGTCCAGGTACGGGCTTGTAAACACTTGTTGCCATCCTGAAGATTCTTTGATTCTGTTAAGAAAGGGACATGAAGTAGACTCAGCAACTCGGCTGCACTTGAGCAAACACAATACAAATCAGTGCACCAAAGAAACCTAACTGCAACAGCCAGCCCTTCATGTTCACCAAATGTAAAATTTTCTTGATATATTATCAAAACCAGAGCATTATCACAAATATATTTACAAACTCAGGACACACAATCCCTTAGAAAGAAACAAGAGTTCTGTATTTCTCCAAAGCATAATTTAAGAAAGTCCTCCACATCACTTTAAAAATTAAAAAAGATGATTATATCTTTTATGTTTCTTTACAAATCACTGACATCATGGGTAGTCGACAAAAATCAGGACATGAGAATTATTTTTTCCAATTTGTAACCAGTATTTTTGGTTATTACTGCTAAATAAAATGACACACATACAAATGCACTGATTTTTGTACTTTAATGACAGCTTATTCAGGCAAACTAAGAAAGTACCACACGCATTCCAATACCTCCCAACAATTACACGAAGAAAAACAGCTCTGAAAAAACCTTTCTCTGCAGACGGGTTTTTAATGGTCTAATTGATGCTTTCAAATACAGTGAAAGGATGATTTATGTTACAAAATGATCAGAACATAGTTGGTTACCCACTTTGGAGAAAATAAATTCTTAAGCCCCACACCATACACAAACGAAAGAATTCCTCACAGATCAACGATCCACGTAAAGTATCAGCTGCAAGAGAGTCTTGCAGAACTGCTCTGCTGACACAGGTAACACCATCACAAACTCAGCGAGCACAGGCGATATGAACACCGGGCCTACTGATGCAGACAACCAGTGAATCTGTATGAAGCGGATTCAAGCAGGTATCTGCTGTACTACTCTTGTTTTAAAGTTTTTTACTTCCCAATATAAAAATTTCAGGAAAAACAATTTTAAGATTACTCTCTGAAAATACTTCCACGGTACCATTTCTTTAAAATCGTTTTACTGCCATCGTACTGGATGAGTTAGCCCCATGTGAGGAAACCCGGCACCTGCACCTGTAATCTCGCCCCGACCCCACTCCCGTTACCGGGCACTGGCACCTGGGCTCTCCTCGCCTGCACCTGCAGTCCTGCCCCCCACCTCTGGGCTCTAGCGCCTACGCTGCCATCACCGACAGCCAGGAAAACCTAGAGATCACGGCGCTCCACGGCACAGAGAACAGAAAATGCAAATCATTCTCCTTACAATCGTCACTCGACACTTACGTGCAACGCTTCATGTCTCTGGCAAGTAGCAATCAACCAAAAAATCATTTCTACACTATTCAAAACTCTAAAACACTGACAAAGCACTCTCAAAGTGAAGTCTGTTGCTACCGTGAATGTGAGCCTGAGATAACTGGCAGAAAACGGCCTCACCAGTGACAGCCTTTCATAAAGCAGAACTTTTTAAACACTACTAATTCTTTAAAATGTATCTGTAACTGTAAAACACATTTGTAGTTATCTTACCGACTGTAGCTTTTTTACCATCAGTAGTGATCAAGTTTATATATTCTTTAATTTTTCAGCAATTTAAATAAAATTGGATCACATTTCAAGCTAGTACACTGCAGCCGCTTTTTGTGCTTCTGCACCATTCTCTACGGTCTGCATTTCTCACCGTACAGGGATTTGAACGAAGGATCCTTCCCTTTCCCCACTTTAAAAAATACTCACTGATCTACAATGTCCTCATTTTCTTTTAGTCTTTAAGAATACAATTAGTAAAACCAAATGTGCAAGTCTCACATGCTAGAGACGCTTTACCACACCACTTCCACCCACAACTGTCCTGCTTTGCAATTTCACTCCCAACAGTGTGGTAGTAACGACCAACACAGTCTTCTTCTTCCATGCTTCACAGGACAAACGGTCACTCACGATAAAACGGTGCTTACATAAATAGTCCTGTCTAACAGCATTTAGCCTAATAGTTAAATGACTCAGAGATTCGAGAAGAGGAAGGAGAAATTACATTAAGACGTCTGCACTGGGCATGCTGGTGTAAGCCCAGCTGCTCAGGGGCAAAGGGAGGAAGACTGTAGTTTCGAAGCCAGCCTGACCAACTCATGGAGACCTTGTCTCAAAATAAAATTCTTAAAAAGGGCTGAAGACGTAGCTCAGTGGCAGAGCACTTGGCCAGCATCAGCAAGGCCCTGGGTTCAGTCCCCGCCATCTACAACAAGTGTCCGCTATGTTACAGTCCATGCTGTTTGGAAAACATTTCAACTACGTTAAGACTGTTGACAAAATTTACCAAATTAGGTAACAAAGTACAAGCAAACTAAGTCTTATCCACATGACACAGACGTGGGTGAAATGTGCAGGAGAAAAATTGAATGACTGAAAGATGGGGCTCTTCACAAAAAATACAAAATCACAATTAATGAATATCCTCTAAAATTAAAAAAAAAAAAAAACTACTGTTATTACTACACAGTACCTGTAGCACACAGCAAAGTGAGCATACGCAGCCACAATCCAGTTGTGATGGCCAGCTACTATCAGCACCTTTCGTGGATCCACAGGAAATCCTGTTGATTTCAGAAAAAGAAATATTTTCCACTCTAGAATGGTTGGCAAACTACAGCCCATGAGCCAATCGCCTGTGGCCTGCGTCGATCCGTAAGTTTGGCTCAAACAGGAAAACACTCATTGGTGGACATACTGTCCCCGAAGTTCTCCCACTGACTGTATTACCCACGATGCATACAATTTAAATCAGTCAACCCTTGTCCGAACAATTCAGAGCAAACAGAAGGTCACATGGTATTTTACATAAAAAATACGTTAAATGAGACTTTTCAAGATATAAATGTTAAATTTCGATTAAAAAAAGACTAGGCACAAATCACATATTTAAAAATAATTACTCAATACCACCAAGCAGTACAATCCTCTGCGGTTTTCTTTTTCTACTTGTGTCCTCTTTGCTTACCCAGCCTGACGGGCTCTTCTCCAGCGGTGGAAAGAACAGGCTGTGCACCATTTCCCCGGGCTTCACCTTCTACGGAGTTTACTCCATTCCGGGGGTCAGCGGAAGGTCTAGTCGCGTTGTTAATTTTACGACTAGGGATACCTACAAAGGGGAAAACGCAGCAAGTTCACTTCCAAGTTAACCTTCCGAAAATGAGAAAGATCACATTTTAACTAAGAAACAAAAGAAAGCAAACTGCATGAAATCTCAAGTAGATCTTTGTATACAGCAATTTACTGCAAATAGTGAATTACGATAAAAAACTACGAAATCGAAATAAAAAATAAAAAGACACTTCTGGTATTGGCCATATTATTTATAATAAACGAATTTATCACATAATGCTGCAACTTACCTAGCCCCAGGTTACTGAATCAAAGATTACGAGCTGCATCTGTTCTTCCTGCGGTGCAGTTAGCACGTGTCCAGCACGAGTACTGCCCTAACTGCTTTAGAACCGGTTTCCTCGTCCTCTCACGCACCCGCACGCAGCACAGGGGCCCTTTTCAAAGCTGAAATCTTGCTCAGCTGCCCACTCGGGTAGAACTGCTCTCGCTCACGCAGGATAAGGTGACACTACGTATGTGTGCGCAGGCCGTGGGTGACAGAGGAAGAACCCTGACAGCAGTGTTATCGGGGTAGCAAGTTAGAGGCCACGGAACCAGACACTCTCCGCAAAGCCGCAGGGCCAGGGGCAGCCCTGCTCTACACAGCTGGTGTGGCAAGGCCAGAAGCTGCACACGCTCCCTTGGCTCTCCAGGCCTCTCTGGCCCTCGACACAGTTTGTCAGCCCCCTGCTCTCTAACACGTGGTATGATGTAATGTTTTTATAAAAATGAAGATCTTATTGTCTCCAGATTTACAGACAGGAAATGCTAGAATCAAGGAAGAGTTTTTCCTATTTATTCTTGCTAATGATACAAAATAATTTGTACAAAGACTAAGTAAAATGCAAGTCCGAGTACCTGGCGGGGGCAAATAGCCGTGGAAAAGCACACTGCCACAGGACGAACGCTCCAGTTCCTCGCATAGCAGAAGCCTCCTCACTGAGAACATTTCAAAGCAAACTTGTCAGCACGGACAGAAAAACAGTGCTCCATTTTTACTTTCTCAGGTTTAAGAGGATACGGAAAGACGATGTTTAAGTCAAATAAGACTTGACATCGTTCTGCTACAAAAATCCACAAAAACTAAGCAACGCACCACTCCATGAGTACTTTGGGCCTGATATAATACACGCTTCATCTGGGCAAGTTCAGCACCCAAAGGGCCCAATCACAACACAGAACAGGGAGAGAAGAACACACACATACCCAACGGCGTGATTCCGTAGAACTCCGCCTCGTGCCTGAGGACATTAATGCTGACGCCCCTGCAAGGGAACAAAGGAGCGGGGTAAACCTTCTGACACTGGGAACGGGTCGCCATTTGAAGCCAACAGGAAAGGACTCGGTTCTTATGTGAACTGTCAGAAGGCTTCAAAGACTTTTCTCCAATATTTCTTATATTCTTAATCATTTTAAAAGTTTAAATAAAAACTGAATGTGAACAATAATACGTTAATGCCTACCTAAGAACCATTGCTAAATAGATGAACTGAGCGAGTGAATGAAAGATTAAGGCAAAGGGCGAGTACAAGTGCCCTGTGCAGAAGTATAGGACAGACAACAGGACAGACACCATTCTCCTAGGAGCTACGGTCAGCTTTTTACCGTAATTACTTAGATACATGTTTAAACTCCCCCATCATTCTATAAGCTCCCTATAAATCTATTTGTTATCTAATTTTACATATCTTGTACTGTGCCTAGCACAATGCTTATAAGACAGTCACGTAACAAATTGTTTTTTGAATGAATCAAAGAAAATTTAAAAATAGGTAAAAAGAGTTGCTTTAGCGAGGCTACATTATAACAGTAATGATTCATTCTGAATTTCAGTTATCATTTGCTCTTAATTAACAAACGTTCCTCGGCTTTCATAAACATAGGCAACTGTGATATTAAATTGTTTTATACTGTTTTTAAGACTTTCTGACTCCACAAGGGCCTGCACAGCAGTGCTGGCTAATTTCAAGGGGCTCCTGGACGCAAAGTCACAGTTCCCGAGGAGCTGCGGTCTCCTGGGGAGGACAGGCTAACAAACGCGGTTATTATGACACAGTGTGATATGATACGCAATTAACAGAACACAGGTATATGGGCTTTTCTTCTCAGATCCCTTCCCATCTTCTTATATAAAGTACCACAAAATTTAAACTTGCTAGGCTTCCTTAACTGAAAACAGGGAGTCATTTGTTAGAAAAGCAGTCAGTAACTGCACATATTTAAATTAATTCTGCTTTCCGGTTAATGTAACTGTGGATTAGTCACAAGGACACTAACCAGACATAAACGTGGACTTCTTTGTCAAAAGGTATGGGTAAAAATAATCTTTCTCAAGAAGTAATTAACAATCTACTTCCCACCTCCAACCAATCCCAGAAGCCCCAACAAACTCTCTTATTCTTCAAGTATCTCTTTTGTATATATTACACATGCTGTTTTAACCATGAAAATACCACAGGGAACGCACGAGACATCTGAATCTCTGTCCTCAAGAGGCTCCCTCTACTGAATATAAGCCAAAAACAAAAAATTATAGAGAAGCAGATAAAATAAGTAAATTTCTAAAAGTTGAAACTAAAAACATAATGAAAGATCTTTAATGAAAGGTTATCAGGAATATATGAAATAAAAAAATACAAATTATAGCTCCTTCATAGGAACAGAAACTGTAAGTGAAGATGGCAAAGTGAAAGAAATCGTTTAAAGTCATCCACTTACACACACACACCACACACACAAATGCACCCTTCACAAGGCAGCGAGCTCTTGGCACGCACCGAGCACAGGGCGGGACGGCGGGAACAGAGCGTGCCCTCTCGCGATTTGAAAGTCTCCTGGAAGCTAGAACATTAGAAAAGGAGCAACTCCGGTAAGTGACGCGGGTGGACACGGCGGGGCGCTGTGACAGCGGCACCCGGCAACAGCAGAGCGCAGCAGAGCAGTCAGATGAGCCGGAACCTGAAGGGCTGCAGGCGCTGTGGGAGAAGCTCGCTGGCGAGGTTATGGACAAAGAGGATCGCACTCCGCGTCCTAAGCCGTTAGTCCAACAGCGCATGAAAGCAGGGTGTTACACAGAGAAGCAACCGGGTGAGGTGTACAGTTTCAGAAGATAAGTTGGTTGCAATGAGAAAACGGTGGGAAGGAAGGAGGGAATCTGCCAGAAAGCTGCTGGAATGCTGCGAAGGACGACACAGTGGTGGGCTGTATCATGAGACTTTAAGTCTGAGGAAATTTAATCAAAAAATAGCAAATACTGCATGTTCTCACTCATTTCTGGCTACTAACAAAGCTGATCCCACAGAAAGGGAACAGAACAGAGGTGAGGAGAGGTGAACAGGCAAGTCGGGAGAGGCAGAGGGAGAAGGCAGCCGGGCCAACAGGTACTAAAGCAGCAGCGACAACAGCCGCAGTATGTCTGGCACAGTAAGACGCTCTGGCCCGCAACTGATGTCCACGCGCTGCAAAATCACGGGCGCGGAAGGGTTTGCAGGTCCCCGGTGTACACACAGGACAGCATCTGAGGACACGGGACACGCTCATCACCCTAAATTAAGCACTGCGCGTCACATGCGTGTAGCGAACTACAACACTGCACCCCACACGTAAGTACAGACACTCCTACTGAATTTTAAAGAAACAGTCTGAGGGAAAAAACTTTTCTTCATAAAATACACCCTGAACACACAGCTATGAGCAAGAATTTGCACTAAAGAGGGCACACTTCTTACCTTAAATCTAGTTCTTTTGTCCGAAGAAAATTTAAAATGGGTGCAAATGCTGCTGGATCTCTGTCAATAAATATCTGTAAATAAAAAACTGTATTATTTTCAAACTGAAGTTCTTCCTTTAATATCCGTAACACTAACAAGGAACAGAAACTAGAGTATTTCCTTTATTCCATTCTTAATTTTAATGTTTCTAGAGCTGGAGTACAGTTATAACTGTGCATTTACGTGCCAGCACCTCTTCTCCCCCGGAAAGTAGTATTGATTTGATATTTTAGTGAGCAGGGAAGCTTATCTAATAAGTCAGCTCTCTCATTTCTATTGATATATTTGGGAAAAGTGATACTTGAACATTTTTATCTGAAATATTCTAGAATTCAATACTTTGAAAACATTATGAATAAATAATACTTATACTGGCAAATCATTATTACTGCTGACCTTGTCACTTACATAATTTGGAAGTCATTAAAACAGCAAAGTATTTTATTTATTTATTTTTTATTTACTTATTTTTTGACAGGATGAGAGACTGAACATGGGCTTTCACGTTGAGCTACATCCCTAGCTGTTTTTTATTTTGAAACAGTCTTGCTAAGTCACTAAGTTGCCCAGGCTGGGCTTGAACTTGCGAACCCCCTGTCTCAGCCTCCCAGAGTACCAGAATGAAAGCAATGGGCCCCACTCTTCGCACAACAATGTACTTTTATAACACACTCATGGAATACTGCATGTGACTATCAACACTGGACAAGAAGACTGTTCTCATAATATTTTTACACGTACAATCTTATTATCTCAATTTCCTCAAAATCCAGGACAGGGTGATGATAAAAATTTTCAAAAATTTTCAAAAAATAATAAATTCAGCATCACACAATACATATGGAGAAAATAAGACGCTCTGAAATGTGAAATACAAAACTGGTAATACTGCATACGAATGTGTGCTAACTGCTATACCCAATCAATTAAAAAGGCCTACTCATAAAATGCAACACCTTTGAAATGGGAAATATAACACCTTTTAAGGCGTAAATACAGGAGAATGGTTAGCAACACCCACCCCGCCCCCGCCCAGTACTAGAAACCAAAGCCCAGCCCCCACGAACACCAGGCAGGCCCTCTAACACTGACCCACATCCTGGCCCAAGAAACTCTTTAGACTATGGTCAGCTAAGCATATGTATATATACAGTCAATGAAATTCTTGGTTCTTCTAAAAAGGGCCAATCAGAAATTAAAGACTCAGATCTGTGAAGAAATTATTGATGATTTCTGAAATAATCGTATATGGACCAGTCTACTTTGCTACTCTATTTCATCTGTAGATCTCAACGTAACAAATAACATTTATCAATCTTTTACCTTCAAATAAGGCTTCCTTTTGAGCTGCTGCTCTAATTAACAGTAGTCATTGATGTACTGGTGTGCACATTATAACTGTTTAAAAACCCATAAACTATTTTCTATTGAAACTTTAGAAGTCTTTACTTTTCCTCATTGTACTACTGCAGTACAAGTTCGTAAGGTTATTCTTATAAAAAAAGAATTTTAAAAATATAGGATTCGGGGCTGGGGATTTAGCTCAGCGGCAAAGCTCCTGCCTGGCAAGCGCAAGGTCATGAGTTCGGTTCCTGGTACCGGAGAAAAACCAAAAAACAATAGGATTCTACCAATCTGTAACCTTATTCTAATATCAAAATATTTTAATATTTACATGAATCTATTTATTGTTTGTTCGCATGTATCCACTTACTGTTAAAATTTCAATGCTTGACTAAAGAGCTATCCTGTAATACCAAAGTAAGCCCATATCCTACAACCTCTAGTAATGAAAATGTAAGGTGCTGTACGTATTACTTCCTATTCAGGGTTCTCTGTTTAGAAATACTGTACTTCGTACATGGAAAGAAATGAAAACTACCCCACTCTCACTCAGTGGCTATAAAATGTTAGCGTATCACCTTCTTAAGGGTATCTAGGCCCTGAAGACTGCGCTTCGTGAAACCCTGCGTGCTCTGATTCGGAAAGGCACGCCAACATGACTTTTTACTTACAGCACCAGTTTCGTCCCGAAGTGTTGAGATTCTGCCACTCAGCAAACTAGATGCAATTATGAACAAGCTGGAGTTAGTTTTTAAACTATGAACATGAATAAGTGACTTACTTCTTTACCAAATGTCAAAGGCCATACAAGTGAACCTTCTATTTACTACACAAAATTTTTAAGAATTAACATTTTTTATCCAAAAAATAAAAATCTTAACTGACAAGAAAAATTATTATTTTGACAAATAATTAAAGATAGAGTAACATAATATAATAAACAATTACCTGGAAAAAAAAGAATCTGGAATCCACATAAGAGTTTGTCTTGAGGTACTAAATCTGCAATTGAGAATTATCTGATGTTTTAATGAGAATATGGTTTTAAATTTCAGTATTAACTTTCTTTAATGTGCTGCCTAATGATTTGCAAGCTGTTGCATAATTACACTGTCTCAATTATATTTATTATATTTAAATATTACTACTTTCAATTCAGAGGTAAGATTATTCAAGAGCTCTCAGCAAAATCAAACAATTCTCTACTATAAAATGCTTCCTAAAACACAGCTTCCCAGCACACCAATCTGCTGAAAAATCAACCACCGGCCCCTCCTGCCAAATTTCAACTCAGGGTAGCTACACAAAATTACCTTCGGTTCCCATTTCACCTCTCGAAATGCCATTCTCCCCCTCTTGTAGAATGGTGGCCCCTACTTTCCCCAAATGATTCACATTCACTATCGTTGTGGTATCTTTATCCCAGCGGGATCACCCTCATCGTGTGCGGTAAGCCAAGTCCTAGGTGTCTTTCTTATTATCACTCAGGTTCCTCCTCCGTAACAGCTTTTCCAAATGTGCTATCCCACAGCACCATACATTATAACTCTATCTCTATGTTTATATAAATCCTGGGCTCCTGCAGCTGCTTCATCCACTCACTCAAAAGTCACTCAGCAGAGACAGCAATGTTCCCAGATTAACTCTCCTTTGATCAGGTCTGCTTATCAGCACAGGTTCTAAGAGGATCTCTACCAACGTGTAGTGTAACAGATGGGGACAATAAAACCGACTGTAAACACACAAGACCAAGAAAGGACACTGTGCAGGCTCGTTCCGTGCAGGCCTTGTCCGGGCACCTCCCCCGAAGGTGGCACCCTAAGCCACGAGGGCACCTCACGTGAGGCGGCACTGCGCACCCTCCGGCACTGCAGGACTCTCCAAACCTATGTGCATCTTTCACACTTAAGGTGGCTGCAGAGTGGGACTGGATGCCGTGCGGTATCCCCAGGGTGCTGAGGAAGCGGTAGATACCGTACCTCTCCAGCATCTGCCCCCAGCTAAGCCAGCAGCCTGGAATTACCCAGCAAGCGGGAATGGCTCACTGTCTGCTCCTCCCAGTCTAGCATCAAATTCCAAAATTCACTCTATTTCCCTTTCCCACGGTCCAGGTGATGAGCAAACAGTAGTGACCACGGGCCAGGCTCAGAACAGTCAGAACAGGCCGAGAGCAACAGGGTACTCCCTGGCAAGTTCACCCGCACGCCTAGGGTAAAGAGACTTGGAACAGTTTCTATCTCGTATGAGTGGACTATTCCTTAAAGACCTATACATCCACCTGTCACACTTATTCTCAGGAACGCACTATATACATATATATATATATATATATATATATATATATGAAAGTGAAGGAAAACTTGTTCCCTATGCTTAACCCTATCACACACTCAATAAATTATTATCTGCTGAAATTGAGGTGTGTTAACCAGAACCACACTCTACACTCAGGTAAGTACCTTCACCAAATCTGAGACAGTGATTCTGGGCCTTTCACCGTTACAACGCAGCATTTCCAAAGTACAGCGCTGACAACAGACATCACTAAGCTGCCCACTTTACAAAGCACCTAGCACTATCAATTCCCAGGGTCAAAAAGTATGCACTACAGCTTTATTCTGTATCTAAAAGCAATTTTCTACTATTACCCAACAGGCTTTCTAATCACGAAAGATTATCTCAGCCTCCATCCACAAATTTATGATCCAGAAGGAAAAGATTTCTCACTGACTTACTAAAGAAAAGGCACAAATATTCCTTAAAGACATCTATAGGTAAAGTTCTTTAAGAGGTCCTTCAGAGAACATGGATAAATTAAAATACGTGGCTTTAAGCAGTTTCTATACCCAATAATCTGATTAAGGAGCCAAATGATTTATACAAGAAAACATGGCACATTTTTCTAAATACATTTTTTAGCCAACTCTCAAGAAAAACTGAAAAGTAGATTACCATTAGTTGCGTAAAACTGACTTGGCGGGTAAATCAAAGTGAATCGGTCACTGGTAAACTGACAGACTCAAGGATCCATAACAAGAAAGACTCACTCCATTTTGGAAGCCATCAAATTAGTTACAACAAAGATAGCTTATAATTTTTGACTTTTTTATATTCACTGCCTATTCAGCAAACTATTTCCCAAGTAATTCAAATTTCCTGTCAGGAAAATTATACAAATTTGCTTAAAGTTATATTAATCAATTTAATACATTAATCAATATTTTGGGCTAAATTTAGTTCTGTGCAATTTCTGGGCAAAGGGATTTTACTCTCACCAATGCTTTCTGGTTTTCAGCCAAAGAAGGGAAAACAAGAGGAAAAAAATACTCCACTACTTTACCCCCCAAAATGAGTCCCTGATCCCAAATATAACGTCATTAAAACTAAGATTTACAGTTACATAAACAAGAGTCATTCTTTGCAATATCCATAACGTCCTTTCAGTTTTTTATCTCAGGTAAGTAAGTGTGCTAATGAGAGGGTCGTGTGCAATCTGACCTCAGCACACAGATGACCAAAGAAATCAGCACATCCAGCTGCACTCCCTGCTACCTGCCTCCTACTGAATCAGCTTGAGAGCAACCGAATTAAAATTGTTATTCTGCAATATTACCACTGATAATGCAATAAACATATGCGTTTCATGTTTACTACTTCAAGTTCCTCTATCAAGCCTGCAGGATTGATGCCGTCATTGACGTTTTACACTTCAGGAGACTAAACATCAAAAAACGACTTGCCCGGACTGCTGCGCCCCTTACAGGTAAGCTCAGCCCCTACCACCTGTCTGCCTCCACACATCTCTGGCCGCCAGTGCCGTTGGTGGCCACAGGGCCTCCGGCCACACAAAGAAACTAATCACAAACTGAGTCAATGGGTTTCTTCCACTTACTTTCCTTTTGTACAAAGTATTTACAAATTCTCAAAGAAACCACATCTTCTAGACCTTCTGAATTAGTAGTAAAAGAATCTTCAAAACTGATTATTTCTGCAGTTCCTTGGACTGTGTCGTCTCTCGCTCTGTTCTCTGGGGAGAACAAAGATCTCACCGGCAGCACATGCTTCTCTGCTCCTAGCCGCTCTCCCTCTGCATGTCCCTCTGACTCCAGAGCTGCCTCCACGCAGCCGGGTCTCCCCCTGGCAAGTCAACCGCAACAGCACTTCCTCGCTCACGGTAACCGGACTGATCCTGTTAATCTGTTCTACACGAGATACAGCCGACTTCTACATCTTTTCCAAAGAAGCTCTAAAACGCTGCCAGACTACGACCCAAAGCAAATCTAGGGAATCTTCTCAGATCATCTGCAGTCAGATGCTGTTTTCTAGAGGTCATGTATTGGGATTCTAGCAATTCTCAAGTTTAACTTTTTCCTTTATTTTTCATCCCTAACAACTTGTATCTAAGTTGTTCAAACCGGTAATACATTTATAATCTCAGTTTACATTTTCACTATTATTACTTGGAACAACTTAGACCCTGTTAAGATCAAGCTCTGTAATAAATGGCAAACAAAATGTTACAGTGCCTTCCAATATTTGAAAATTTAAACTGAATTCTGCAGTCGTTCCAAGAGTTCACTCATAAAGCCAGCCACTTTCTAAACAGTCATGTGTGGTGTTTAATACAACACTGTATGTCATTTTTGAAAGCTTGAGAAGAAATACTGTCCACAATCAATAGCAATTAGAAACCAGCGTAGGGATTGTGAAGTTACAACGCTACTTTACTCTGAACACACACTGAAGGCCCAGTCTTGTGGTGTATAAAATGTCTGCATCCAGAGTTACCTTCCATATTTTCACGTGATTTTAGGGAAAAACTCATTTCATACAGTGAAAATATAAATCTCCTACCTACGTAATGGCAACACTGCTGCAATTACTCAAACCTTGATTAAAGTTCTGCTTTGAAGAATGCAAAGGGAACAAGCCCTGAGAATGTATGACTATTGTGCCGAACTCCCCAGCATGGGAGAAAGCTACTACATTTTTAGGATTGAAGCACTTCACATTTTTGTATTGTGCGGTTCACCCTGCTCTCACTTGCTTTGTGTGTGTGTGTGTGTGTGTGTGTGTGTGTGTCTTTTTGAGACAGGGTCTCACTATACAGTTCAGGCTGGCCCTGAGCTCACTTTGTAGCCCAGGGCTGGTCTCGAATTCACAAAACTCCTCCTGCCTCAGCCTCCGGAGTGCTGAGATTATAGGCGTGCGCTACTGAGTAAGAAGTCTTAGATGTTGAAAACCTAGCATACTGTGGCTACAGCAAAACCCAGCAATATTCTGCAGTCCTCGGCCACTTATCTCCTACCACGTCTAAACCCAGCCGCCCTTCCTTCACCCAGAGCTGGCGAACTCCCTTTGCTGAGAAGTGACTCAGACGCCGTGGCAGAGCCACACAAAATGCCTTTAATAAAAGGGAGCGGACCACAGCCGGCGCGAGCACAGAGAAGCGCTTTCGGCCCTTCACTCCGGGCCAACATCCCGAGCCTCCCGGAAGCCACCCCTCTCCGCGCTCACCGCCCGCAGGCTGAGCGGAGCCTCCGC